TGTATTTCGTAGTACCGAGAAGAAATCGTCGGACATGAGATGCTGATGCCTGAACTCACCAAAGAAACCTATGAGTGGGACAAGCCTCATATAGTGGTCATCTGGAATCCCATTCAATGGTAAAGGAGAAATCGATGTTTTGTCCAAGGCGGAAACGTAAACAAGAGCCAAAATTATTTGCTAAGATTTAAAAGAATGAAAAGCAAAAATTAATTTTGACAAAGTCACCTGTGTGCATCTCGCGTTGGACTAAGTCCTTTACAACGCACAACTTACGGATGACCGGTGGACTTCAAAAGATACGCTACTTATGATAAACAAGGGGCCGCAAGTGCCCATTTGGAAGATCTCAGCTGAGATGGGGGGGGGTGCTAAGAGAGATACGGACGCTTGTGGCAGCAGATCGCAAGAACCATATCAACGTTGGCATCGAGATTTGGCAATGGTGATCCTCGTTAGTTACAAAGAAGGTTCAGGCAGTGCATTACATGTCGCGATCACAGTTGAAGTCTTCAGGAAGCACTTGAATAGAGGCATAAACTCAAACTTATGCATGTTATTAGTTGGTCATAATTAAATATCATATTTGTACTGGTGCAGTTGTGAGTTCAAGGTCATGGTAAAGCCAGCGGCCAACAGCGACGACTGCAATTGTGTTCTAACGGTCGTAAAGACAGAGAACGGCTTTCTCTCTGTTCGTCACTTTCAGCGCCATCCCATTAATTAATGAAAAGTACAGTTGTTGGCAGTATCCGCAGACCTATGGTCCGCTTGCTTGCTCTCCTGTTAGTTTGGTCCAATTCTGGTTTCGTTTTCGTTTCAAGAGATTTATAGTACTCCAGTTTTGCCTTACAACTACGATTGCTGGTATGTACAGAGGTCAGTAAATACTTAAGGTTCCGTAAACGAAAAGTATCGCATTTGCAGTGTTGTAATTGACCGTCAACGTCATGGTAAACCGTGCTGCCTTCATTAATGCTGTTGCTGCTCTGTACCAATGAACAATGTACTGAGAACGGTAAAAAAGAAAATAAAGTTTACTCACTGTTCGTCACTTCTGATGCCATATCATTAATAATGGTTTCACTTTCGTCATGGGAGATTCAGAGTACCGCATGCCTGCTTTACTGGTACACTGATCACAATGTACATTTTCAAACGGTTGGTTAGTAAAGAAAGCAGCAGAAACTTAATGCGACTATTCGTTGAAAAGTGTCACTTTCACTGGTGAGCTGAAGGCCATCGTAAAACTGAGCGATCGTCAGCAGCGAATTATTTGTTATTAATGTTAATTATTGCATTCAAAATGAGTAAGGGCATGCGATTGAAGTTCTACTTTCTGCTTGCTACCTCTACAGTGGTTGATTAAATAGTGATAATGTAGAGTTTGGCAGTCCCCCTTCTTGTAATCTGTCGACGTTTGTCTCGTGCCTTCTGCGCTACAGTTTCACTTGAAAGACTGGTAGGATAGAAAGATATCCACGAAGACTTAAACGTACTGAAACTTGGTCAAAATGTCGTTTGCAGTGACGTAGTGATTGGCTCAAGGCTACGTAAAGTGACACGACCACTGACAGAACAAAGAGAGAGGCAATGAAGTCTGGGTTAACGTTTTGTGATTATTATTACACTCTGTCGTCAACTGGATGGATTAGGTGAGTGAAAGCGAAGTGCAGCTACGAGGGGTGCTTGCGTCAGGCAGCATGGCGATACACCTCGTCTATTCTTGTGTGACCTCTGCAGACACTCTGCTGTCCCAATTTTTATTCGAAAGTCACCGACCGGCTATCCGTTTCTGTGCTGGTCGTTCCGAGGCAATGTGAGGTTAGTTCCTTGCTGAACCGAACGCTCATTCAAAACCGTAACTGTTATTGTTCTACAGTGGTGTCCAGTGTGTTCAGAAATGGTAAATAAATTTCGTAAACAATTCCACTTTCTTCTGGTCTCTATTTTCACAGCCTTGTGGCTAACACTTGATTTGCCGTTGACGCTTACAGAAAACTGATAAATAATTAAGTTTCATGAAAACTTAAATACACCATAAATTGGCCAAAGCATCGATTACAGTGACGCAATGATTGTATGAAGGTGTTGGAGCAAAGAAGAACGATCATCGGCAGTGTCTGTTATCACTCTATAATGCTGACTATCCTGTTGAGAAAAATAACTTTTTTCGTAAAAAATTCTGCCTGTTTCCCTTTCACAAGCGTCACGTGAACATTGTCTCATCTTGTTGAAGATCCAGAGCGATTTTTTAAAGACATCCAGTGGCGGTTTTGCCCTTTAGGATATATTTCCGGTCGACTGCTCTTATTCTCCCATATTTTTTTGCTGTTTAAACGAGTTTGCGAATTAGTCAAGTTTGGCAAAACATTCTTGCAAGTTTGAAGTTCCGAAAACTTGTTTACTTCGAGTGAAAGAAAAATAAATGCGCCGAAATTCAATCACCAGTTCTTCGCTTCAAGTTCCGTCCTGCGTCCCGAAGACATTCAATGTTCGGTCGGTCCCTTAACGATGAGGCGGAGGAGGAGACAGAAGACGAGGTGGAGGCGGAGGCGGAGGCGGAGGCAAAGGCGTCGGCCGTCACGGTTGACTCCGTTCTCGCGACAGCGCTGTCGCATGAACCATGCGACGCCTTGTTCGTTCCTAGCCGTCTCATCAATAATCAGCGACGAAGCTGGACTCGGAGTGATCGAACGCACCGCACTTCCACGAACGGTGACAGTGGGGCTCTTCGGTAACTGTGTCGAATACGGTGCTCGAAGAACCGGATAAAACAAACCAACGAACGGCAGGGTTTCGTCAACCGTATAACGGGTCTGTGAATGGAACATAAAAATAAATGGGCACCGAATAATGCCTTTGTGAACGATATCGATTTATTCTGAAAATAGCGCAAAGAATATGGTCAATGATAAATCATAGACCAATAGCGTCCGTGGGGAGGGGGAGGTGTTCTTCGAGATAGCGAGGGTTGATATCAGAAATTCTTTCCGTGATTC